ATCACCATCACCATCAGCATCATCCACCGGTTTCATCGCCATGAGCATCAACATCGTTATCACAATCACCACCACCACCACCATCTTCTTCTTTATCAGCATCATCATCATCTGCATCATCAGCATCATCATCATCAGCATCGTCATCATCATCATCATCATCATCATCATCATCATCATCATCATCATCATCATCATCATCATCATCATTGTCAGCATCATCATCACCACCACCATCACCATCACCATCATCGACAGCAGCAGTATCAGCATTATCAACATCATCGTCAGCATCGTCATCATCAGTATTATCAGCGTCGTCATCATCATCATCATCATCATCATCATCATCATCAGCATTCGCATCAACGTCAACATCATCATCATCATCGCGATCAGTATCATCACCACCAACACCCTCACAATCCTCATCACTGCTCTCCCAAATCTGGTGACACGAGGTGTCACACGTGACGACCCCCCGTGCCCCCTCGACCAGTAGCCACCCAGAAAGCTCGGCTGGCACGGTGGCGGGACCTGCCGCATGCAGCTGGATATCATCAATATGCCTATTCCCCTGAGCAACTGCAACATGTTACTTAAGACCAGACTGTCTCAGCAAAGCAAGGCCAATTGGGTATTCAAATTTAAGTGCCCTGATCTGCTGCCTATAGCGGAGCCTAGGTTACAACTAATTCTACTGAGGGAGGCGCCAGACTGGGCGCAAAACTGCTTTAACAGTGTTACCGCCGGCTGCGCCGCACTGGCCTCGGCCCCGTGCCATTTGCAACACCCCATGGCGCTGTGTGTGCACCCCCACACGGTCCAACCGACCATTCATATAAACAGGCAGCACGCAATGACAAAAGTAAGGACAGTGTATAGCACAACAAAGAAACAAACAACCCGTACGACCGTACGGCGACGCGGCTGATAGAAAATATGCCCGGATTTCTATCGCGCGGGAGCCGGGAGCAAGAAGGCGAGCGGAAGAAGGACGGGGGAAAACAAGCAAGCTGGCAGGGCAGTGTAGGCTGGAATGGGCGCAAGCACTCACCAACATTGAGAACTACATAGCTATATGGATGGGGCACGGCCGTGCCCCGCAGCAACAGAGGGCAAAATCCAAGCGGCGAGCGGACGAGCCCCGGGCGGCAAGAGCGGCCCGTGGGGTCGACCGACCGCGGCTGAGCGCTGAGCCAACACACGCTGCACATGCACATGATTAAAAGGAGAGGCGGGGTAAGAGAGGAGGAGAGAGAAAAGAATAAAGAAATAATGCAGAAAACGCGAGGGCGCTCAATAAGCCCTCAGGACACGCTCAGGAGATGGAGATCAGGACCAGATCCTCGCCCTCGTCCTCTGGAACCCCGACCTCCTCTTCTAGATTCCCGTCCTCCAACTCAGGATCCTCGCCCTCGCCCACTGGATCCACGCCCCCGTCCTGTGGATCCTCGTCCTCGTCCTCTGGGTCTGCGACGTCCTCTCCCAGGTCCCCGAACGTGCTCCTCCCCGCCCTCTCGCCGTACATTGCCATGATCACGATCGTCACGCTGACGGATGTGCCAGTCATGATGCGGCAGCTCCTGCTTCACAGTAGTGATGCGGTTGCGTGGCTCCAGGCTGGGAGTCGCTGAGCGGATCGGCGCAGAAGTGGGCGAGCAGGACGGCACGGAAGTCAGTGAGCCGGACGATGCGGGAGCCGCCACACTGGTAGGCGTGGGAGTCCACGATCTGGACGGGCGGGAATCGGCGAGCCACTCGGAGCTGGAGTCGGCGAGCTGGTCGGCGCAGGAGTCGGCGAGTTGGTCGGTGCGGGAGTGGGTGAGCTGGCCAGTGCGGGAGTCGGTGGGCTGGCCGGTGCGGGAGTCGGTTAGCTGGTCGGCGCTGGAGTCGGCGAGCTGGTCGGCGCGGGAGTCGGCGAGCTGGTCGTTGCGGGTACCGCCGAACTGGCCGGTGCAAGAGTCGGTGAGCTGGTCAACGCCGGAGTCCTTGACAAAGGGCCGGAGAAAATAAATCGCACCACAATGCAGGACTCAACACAAAGAAGGTGTCACGGATTACGGTGCTGCGATGATGTGATGGCCGGCGCTGGATTCGGCGAGCTGGTCGGCTCGGGAGTCGACGAGCTGGTCGGCGAGGGAGTCGGCGAGCTCGTCGGCGCTGGAGTTGGCGAGCTCGACGGGCTGGGAGTCGGTGAGCTGATCGGTGCGGGAGTCGGTCGACTGGACGGTGCGGGAGCCGCCAAGCTGGTCGATGCGTGTGTCGGCGCGCTGTTCGGTGCCAGAATCCCGGCGTCACAGTCGTGATGCGGCTGCTCCTGCTCCACGGTCGTGATGCGATTCTGTGGCTCAAGTGGAAGCTGGTCGGTGTGGGACGGTGCGCTGGTCGATGCGGGAGTCGGTGACCTGGTCCGCGCGGGAGTCCGTGGGCAGGTCGGCGCTGGAGTCGGCGAGCTGGTCAGTGCGGGAGTCGGTGAGCTGGTCGGCGCAGGAGCCCCGCGAGCGGGTCGGTGAGGGAGTCGATGAGCTGGTCGGTGCGGGGATCGGCGAGCTGGTCGGTGAGGGAGTCGGTGGGCTGATCTATTTTGTCCCCCCTCTTCTTCCCTGCGTCACAATCGTGATGCGGCTGCCCCTGTGTACGGTCGTGCTGCGATTCTGTTGCTCAAGTGAGAGCTGGTCGGCGTGGGACGGTGAGCTGGTCGGTGCGAGTGTCGGTGACCTGGTCAGCGCGGGAGTCGGTGAGCTGGACGGCGCTGGAGACCGTACGCTGGTCTGTGCTGGGGTCGGTGAGCTGGATATCATCACTATGTGTTGTTTATTGTGTTTTTTTGGCCTCTCCAGCTTCCGTTGTCCACCCCGTTCCTCACAACTCCCCCATCAACACTTTCCCTCCCCCCACCCTCCTCACCTTCCAACATGTATCCCCCTCCACCCTCTGTCCGACGTCCTCGATCCCTCTCTTACTCTTACTCTTCTGTGTCATCCCTCGTCCCTCCTTCTTCTGCCACCGTCCACGTTTTTCATGTAGCCACGCGAGCGAACCACTGGGGACCGTCAAAGCTAGACCTGGGACGAAAAACCAGCCTCGGGACGAAAAACAGACCAGCAGTGACGAGGGCCTGCTGGCTCCCTGCCAGCGACAACAAAACATTACCTCGGTGGCTGAAGTCTGCCCCAATTACTCAACGCAGAGATCTCGATGTGTGCACCCCATTTGCTGGCGCTCTCCGCGTTGAGTGTCTAAGCAAGAGCGTGGCGCGAAGCGCGGCCATCTCCGCGCCCGGGCGGGCAACCTTGGCAGTGCAGGTGTCGGCCGACAAACACCTCCGATGCTAAACTGTCCCCCGACCACCCTCGGGACGCGTCCCGGCGAGGACCTTGAAGCGAGTCCAGCAGAGGCGACGGGAACCTCCCCGTGGAGGGCCCAGAGCGAAACAAGCATTCAACCCCTAAGCATCATCAATCCTCCTCCTCCTCCTCCTCCTCCAAATTCTCCAAATCCTCCAAATCTTCCTCCTCCTCCTCCTCCTCTTCCTCCTCCTCTTCCTCCCCGTTTTCCCATCTCGTCCTCCTCCCCGGCAGCGGATGGCCGCGAGAGGAACCCTGTGGCAACCCAGAGCCGTGTCGTCTTGCTGGCTCCTGCGAATCGACGCCGACCGACACTGACCGACGCCAATCGACGCTAAACCGATGCTACATCGACGCGAATTCTGCGCTTTCTCATCCATCGCAAGATGCTGGCGCAGACTAACGCACTCTGAAGACGGAAATGCGAGGACATACAAAGCTCACATGATGGAAGCCTCCCAGATGGAGTCCGATTACACGGGGTCGGAGGATAGCGCCTCGTCGCCGATGCATCCGCGATACATCGTCAATGCATCGGCGAGGCATCAGCGATGCCAGACAACAAATCGAACTCCGCATCGAGCCGCATCACCCATGCATCGGCGATGCGGCGCACCCCTCCGACCCCATCTGCTCGCGCAGCATCTGGGAAGCCTAGACACGAGCCCTGACAGGGCAGGAGCGCACGGTACAAGGGAGGAGGAGGAGGAGGAGGAGGAGGAGGAGGAGGAGGAGGAGGAGGAGGAGGAGGAGGAGGCATACACTGCGGTCCGCCTCAATGGGAGTGAAGTAGTAGTAGTAGTAGTAGTAGTAGTAGTAGTAGTAGTAGTAGTAGTAGTAGTAGTAGTAGTAGTAGTAGTAGTAGTAGTAGTAGTAGTAGTAGTAGTAGTAGTAGTAGTAGTAGTAGTAGTAGTAGTAGTAGTAGTAGTAGTAGTAGTAGTAGTAGTAGTAGTAGTAGTAGTAGTAGTAGTGGTAGTAGTAGTAGTAGTAGTAGTAGTAGTAGTAGTAGTAGTAGTAGTAGTAGTAGTAGTAGTAGTAGTAGTAGGTAGTAGGTAGTAGGTAGTAGGAGTAGGAGTAGTAGTAGTAGTAGTAGTAGTAGTAGTAGTAGTAGTAGCAGTAGTAGTAGTAGGAGGAGGAGGAGGAGGAGGAGGAGGAGGAGGAGGGGAATTGGGGGGGAGCCCCCACGCAGCGCGCCCTCCGAGCCAGCTCCGCGAGCGCGCTCGCATCGCTGGACTCAGCCCGCCCACCCTCGCCCCCCGCCCATCCGACCCCTGCCTGCCCCTGCAGCGGGGGGGGGAACTAAAACAGGGCTGGGATCGGCGCGGAACCTTCGTGTCGATCTTGGCCACCGTCGATCTTGGTCGGCGCCGATTCGTGGGCCATCCTCTCGAATAGGCGACGGCCGACGTGGACCATGACCAAGATCGGCATCCACAAGATCTAAAACAGGGCTGGGATCGGGATAAATCGCTCCGGAGCGTTCCGGAGCGTTCTCAGAGCGTTCCGGAACGCTCTGGAGCGGCCGCGGCGCCCAATACATCCTCCAAACCCGCCGATTCTCAAAGATTTCGAGTTATCCCGATCCGATTTTGTCGGGATCTTCGCGTCGTTTTAGGAACGCTACCGAAGAGGAGGCCCTCCCCAGCGGGCTCCCCGCAAGGTGCTGCTGAACCTGGTTGCCCCTGCGCCTGCCGCCGCTCCCGAAGTGCTTCGCGACCACCACGTTGGCGCTCCTCTCCTGCGGGCGGGGGCGCGGCTGGCGCAAGGGCTCGGGCGGACTCACCTTTAGGGAGCCCACAAAGGACGTACGCACCCAGCTATGTACATGAAAACGGCCCCTCGATTCGCGAGACCAGCCGCGCTATACGAACATTTGTGCAATGCGTGCTCTCGAAACCAGCGTGGATTCATGTACATGTACGTCCTTCTTTCGCTCCTGAACCTTGTGGGGCACACGAGTGAGCACCGAGCACTCGGGCGTTCTTCAGAGCTCTGGGTGACTCTGGAGACCCGAAGCCCCCTGGGGTCGTGACAAAATCGCGACGGACGCTTTTTGTTGCTTTTTACCTAACAGCGAAGACTGATAGGTTTCTAATGGGGTCAAAAGAAACGCCTTGACTCCCCAAGGGGGTCTGGGCAGGATCCGGGGGATGCCGGGGAAAACCGGGGACTCCCCAGAACACTATCCCAGGCCACATTTTGACTGCCTGGAGCCAACAGAACACCATTCCCAGGAAACATTTTCAATGCCCGGAGCCAACTGTAGGCCACTTCGTGTTCTTCGTGCTCCCAGAACACCATTCCCAGGCCACAGTTTGAATGCCCGGAGCCAACTGTAGGCCACTTCGTGTTCTTCGTCTACCCAGACCACAATTTCCAGGCCACATTTTGAATGCCCGGAGCCAACTGTAGGCCATTTCGTGCTCTTCGTGTTCCCAGAACACCACTCCCAGGGAACACCACTCCCAGGCTACATTTTGAATGCCCGGAGCCAACTGTAAGCCACTTCGTGTTCTTCGTGTTCCCAGAGCACCATTCCTGTACCATATTTTGCTTGCCCGGAGCCAACTGTGGGCCACGTCATGATCTTCGTTTTCCCAGAACACCAATCCTGTGCCATATTTTGAATGCCCGAGCTGAGGCAGGCTGAGGCCGAGGCAGGCTGAGGCCGAGGCAGGCTAAGGCTGAGGCTGAGGCAGGCTGAGGCTGAGGCAGGCTGAGGCTGAGGCTGAGGCAGGCTGAGGCTGAGGCAGGCTGAGGCTGAGGCTGAGGCAGGCTGAGGCTGAGGCAGGCTGAGGCTGAAACTGAGGCAGGCTGAGGCTGAGGCCGAGGGTGATGCAGGCTGAGGCTGAGAGGCTGAGGCTGAGGCTGAGGCAGGCTGAGGCTGAGGCTGAGGCCGAGGCAGGCTGAGGCTGAGGCTGAGGCAAGCCGAGGCAAGCTGAGGCTGAGGCTGAACCTGAGGCAGGCTGAGGCTGAGGCTGAGGCTGAGGCTGAGGCTGAGGCTGAGGCTGAGGCAAGCTGCGGCTGAGGCAGGCTGAGGCTGAGGCTGATGCAGGCTGAGGCTGAGGCAGGCTGAGGCTGAGGCTGAGGCAGGCTGAGGCTGAGGCTGAGGCCGAGGCAGGCTGAGGCTGAGGCCGAGGCAAGCCGAGGCAGGCTGAGGCTGAGGCTGATGCTGAGGCAGGCTGAGGCTGAGACAGGCTGAGGCTGAGGCTGAGGCAGGCTGAGGCTGAGGCAGGCTGAGGCTGAGGCCGAGGCAGGCTCAGGCCGAGACAGGCTGAGGCTGAGACTGAGGCTGAGGCTGAGGATGAGGCCGAGGCAGGCCGAAGCTGAGACAAGGTGAGGCTGAATGGGGGGGGGGAAGGGGGGGGAGGGGAGGCTGAGGCAGGCTGAGGCCGAGGCAGGCTGAGGCCGAGGCAGGCTGAGGCTGAGGCCATGAGGCTGAGGCTGAGGCTGAGGCAGGCTGAGGCTGAGGCAGGCTCAGGCTGAGGCTGACGCAGGCTGAGGCCGAGGCAGGCTGAGGCTGAGGCTGAGGCAGGCTGAGGCTGAGGCCGAGGCAGGCTGAGGCTGAGGCTGAAGCAAACCGAGGCAGGCTGAGGCTGAGGCTGAAACTGAGGCAGGCTGAGGCATCCGTAGGAATCCATAGGAATCCCTAGGAATCCGTAGGCATCCTTAGGAATCCGTAGGCAGAGTTGAGCATCCTCAGGAATCCTTAGGAATCCCTAGGATTCCTCAGGAATCCTTAGGAATCCATAGGAATCCCTAGGAATCAGGATTCCTAAGGGTTCCTAAGGTTTCCTTAAGGATTCCTATGGATGCCTTAGGAATCCCAAGGAATCCTTAGGCATCCATAGGCCGTTGCCACTGCGACTGTCATTGCGAATGCGACTGCGACTGCGAGAACAGCAGAAGTCTACAACTGGAGTATCACCTGAATCTTAAGGGGAATGCTTCCAAAGATGCTTATACACATCGCTGTTAGGTTGCTTTTCCGGGATAATTGCTGCCCCTGGAGGCCCTCGCCAGGCCCCAAGACCGTCAAAAACAATTCAGGATGCTACAACGGTCTCGGGGAATGGGTCGAGACCGCTGGGGGTCGAGTTTACGAACGGAATTATTACGTCGGGGGCTCTGGGAAGGCCCCTGATAGGGGGCACGTGCTCTGCCTGCCCCAGGGTGGGCGGGCGGAGGGGTGTGGGAAGGGAAGGGGGAGCCATGCCCCACCAGCCATACTTTACTGACACGAATGATTGCAATATCTCACTATCGCCAGAGGTCCAAACGCGTAGAGACAGACCTGTACATTTCGAACGTCGCCTGGCCTTTCCAAAGATTGGGCTCCGCGCGCAGTCTAGACTCACGTGGCCCTGGGGACATGCAAATGGTAGGAAGGACCACCGCTGAAGCGAACCAGTGCGCTACCCCCGCTCAGCTGTCAAAGGCCTTTGGGCTGCTGAATCCTACGGCCAAGTAGAACGAAGCACTAGTACCTCTCAATGGCGGAGAACACTAGTCAACTTCTGTCTCAAATCGGAGGCAGGCACTGGCCAGCATGCCATGCCGCACAACTGAAACGACGACGATTACACATCTGGACGAACGTGGCACTACACCGACCTCAATATAGGACCCGCTGCTGGACCACTACTACTGGGTCGATGGGTGTTCCGTGGCCTGTGTTTCCGCGCGCGCAGTAAGCTGCACCACGTTCGGCGACGACGATGATGACGATTTGTGTCCGTTCGCATCGAAAGCCCATTGTGACAGAATTCGAATTGCATCACCATTCTCGGGGTGCGGAATATGTTCCAATTGGCATTCGATCCAAATTCAAGTCAAATGCGGTGGACCTGGGATCCTTATCGTCCAAATTGAGCATCAATTGGAATCGAATGTACAAGGCATGGCGTGCGGATCTTCTTCGCTGTCAAAGAACAGATGTTCGCCACCGTGGACCACTGACACTATTACAATCTACGTGGTGCGAATTAACTTCGGCGGGTTGTCTTCAACTCACCGCGAGCACGGGCAAATTAAATTCGCCAATGTTCGCGGTGAGCTGTCAACTTTACTGTTCGCGCAATCATCCGACCCACCCACCCGCAACTTGGTTTACAAAACCCATGCGACGGCGAATGCGATGAGTGCTTGGCGTTGGCTGGTGCATCTGCGTCCGCGCCAGCCCGCGCATGCTCGCGCGCGCAGCGGCCAGCTAGTGCGGCGCGGCCGACTCGGCCGCGGTGGCGCTGACCGCTGGGGGTTTCCCATCGGGCACCACGTGTAAATCGGTGACTTGGGCGGGCAAGATATCATAGCGACGCCGACAACGGTAGACACAATGATGACAGTAGCGGTGATGGTGACGTTGGTGGCGGTGACGACGGCAAGGCCAATGAGGGCGCCGATGTCAATGTAGATCACGCCCGCCAATAACGATGACGATGTCCGCGCATCGGTGGTGAAGGCTTTGGGAAAAGTTCGACATGTGCGCGCGGCAATGTTGAAAACCAGATGACTTCTAAGAATTCGCAAGAGCGCGCGCGCAAGCTTTTCTAAGCGAGAACTGACACTTGTTTTTGAAACCCGCACGGAACCCAACATTGTTGAATGATTCCGGCATGCACGCGCGACCAAACGCGCATGCACACTTCGTCTCACTTTTTGCAACCAAGGTTCTTGCGACAGCACGCGCGCAAGGGCGCTTGTTGCAAAACCACAAGTGGTTTTCTCACGAATCTGCAAAAACGCGAGCGCCAATTGTTGTTGATCACCCGCGTTGCGAAACCATTGTATATTTATATCTATATATACAAACTTTCGTGGCGCTCGATTCTGAAATCCTTGAGGCGCCAGAGATTGTGAACCGATTTCTGCATGTGCGGACGACGACGCGAGCGCGTGCACATCGTTCCGCTTCAACAGACTTTTTCCCTACCTGGGCTCTGCCTAGAGGCTTCTTACTCTCTTTCTTAAAGGGGCCGGGCAGTGGAAACCACCCCGGGCGGTTCCCCCAGTATCCGCCCCGCGGTTCCCCCAGTCCCCTGGGAACTTTAGCTTTAGCTTTAGCTTTAGCTGTAGTTTAAGCCGAGCTTTAGCTTAGCTTTAGCTTAGCTTTAACTTAGCTTCAGCTTAGCTGTAGCTTATTTTCAGCTTAGCTTTAGTTAAACTTTAGCTTAACTTTCGCTTAGCTTTAACTTAGCTTTAGCTTAGCTGTAGTCTAGCTTTTAGCTGCACCTTGGCTTTAGCTTAGCTTTACCTTAGCTTTAGCTTGGCTTCAGCTTAGTGTTAGCTATAGTTTTAGCCGAGCTTAGCTTTAGCTTAGCTTTAGCTTCAGCTTGTGTTTTAGCTTAGCTCTAGCTTAGCTTAGCTTTAGCTTAGCTTCCGCTTAGCTTCAGCTTAGCTTTAGCTCAGCTTTACTGTTACTACTAATGCTGCTTTCCTAGGGGTTCCAACTCCTAGGTCGGGTCGCACGGGGATAATTTTTGCAGGGGATGAGGGTGAGTTTGAATCAGCGGGTGTGCGCGCAATTTCTCTTGCAAGGGATGATGGGGCAAGGCCGATGCTGGCATGGCTGGGACACTATGAGATCACATGTCGGATGCACGATGGGGAAGGACCGTCTGCAACTTGTAATACGGATGGGGGGCGATTAAATCCAGAGGGGGGGGGGAACTCTAATAGAATAACATGTTTTGAAAGGAGACAGCATGTGGTACAGTCTATGTTGAGCAGATCACACGTGGAATTCGCTGTTGTCAGCTCCATTGCTCGCGCAATCGTTCCACCCACCCACTCGCAACTTGTTCTGCAAAACGCGAGCGGCGACGATTGCCATGCGTGCTTGGCGTTGGCAGATGCATCTCTGCGGCCGCGCCAGCTCGCGCATGAACTTGCGTACAGCGGCCAGCTAATGCGGCGCGACCGAAACGGCCGCAGTGGCGTTGACCGCTGGGCACATCCCAGCGGGCCCTTCAGCGCGAGTCGGCGACTTGGGCGGGCACGGTATGTATTATGGCAACGTCCACAACCGTAGGCACGATGCTGATAAGAACGATGCCAAGCGAGATGTTGACAACGACGGCGGCACGGCCAGTGACGGCGCCGATGCTGATCACGCCGGCGACGACGATGGCGCGCTCGCGTCGGTGATGAGGATTTTGGATGGAGTTCGGCGCGCGTGCGCGCGCGGCCGACGCGCGAGAGTGGCCCGCATGGTATTATTCGACTCGGGCCGTGCCCCCCCAGCAGGCGCGCAAGGGCGTTCGAATGATTTCGAGCAGCCGGCTTAGCAGGATTCAATGGGAATGTTGGAAAACACCAGTGGCTTTCTGAACAATTCGCGACAATGCGGAAGCGTTATTCGAACATCCGTGATGCGAAACCATGTATTTATATGTATATGTATATGTATATATATATATATATATATATATATGTATATATATATATATATATATATATATATATATATATGCGGTGTCTAGACACCCGAAATTGAAATCCGTACAACAGTCTAGGTGTTTGAAGAATGTCGACACGCGCGCGCGCAACGACACGCGCGCGCGGTTCGCCCCATTCGCTTGCAAATAATTCTCGCGACAGCACGTGCGCAAGGGCGTTCGCACGATTTCGACACGCGCGCACGCGAAATCCATTTGGTAGCACGTCATGGCAATAGTGAAACACCTATGGTAATATTGATAATTCGCAAGAATACGCGCGCAAACTTGTTTTGAACATCCGTCTTGCGAAACATGTTTTTCTATTGTGCTTGGACACGCGATTCTGACATCCTTACGGAACTCTGGGTTTTTGAATGATTTCGGCTTGCTGTCGCGACGATGCGCGCGCGCATTTCGTCACACTTCTTGTCAGAAAGTATTCTCGCGACGACACCAGTGCAAGAGCGTTCGCGCGATGTCGACATGTGTGCGCGCGATTTCGCACGATTTCGAAATGTGCGCGCGCGAAGCCTTTTCTGGTAGCATGTTGTGAGAAGGTTGGAAAAAAAACAACTGTTTATTTGCACACACAAAAAAGTTGCAAGAACGCGCGGGTATTTTTCCGCCGGCGAGTTGCGAAAACATGTGGTGTTATATGTTCTTTGGACACTCGATTGAAAGATTTCGTTATGCGCGCGAAACGACGCGCTCGTGGGCACTTTCATATGTTGCAAAGGGCTCGTGCGAACCCATAGGTTTTGAACGACGAGTGCGCGCGCATAGCATGTTTTGCAGAAACTCACGGGGTGTGTCGATACTGGCCTGGCTGGGATGGTATGAGTTCATATTTCGGATGGACGATTGGGCAGACAAGTGTCCATTTCATTCCGAAAAGTGGTACTCATAATCCCAAGGGGAGTGGCATCTGTTCTCTTTAAGAGAGGAATCCATGTTGTACACTCTACGGTGCCCAAAGCATCTATGTGGCGACATTGACGTTTACAAGTGACTTGACACATCCATGCCTTCGCAAACGTCCCACCCATCCATCCGCAACCTGGTTTGCAAAACCCATGCGGCGGCGATTGCGATGAGTGGTTGGCGTTGGCTGGTGCATCTCTGCGGCCGCGCTAGCCCGCGCATGCTCGCGCGCACAGCGGCCAGCTAGTGCAGCGCGGCCGACGCGGCCGCGGTGGCGCTGACCGCTGGGAACTTCCCGGCGGGCCCTTCAATGCGAATCGGTGACTTTGGCGGGCGCTGTATCATCATTGCTACGCCGACAACGGTAGACACGATGATGACAGTAGCGATGATGGTGGCGACGGCGGGGGTGACGACGACAAGGCCAATGTCGGCGCCGACGTTGATCACGCCCACGAGTAACGATGACGATGTCCTCGCGTCGGCGATGCAGGTTTTTGAAAGAGCTCGGCATGTGCGCGCGGCCGTCGTGCGCGAGTGGCCCGCGTCATCCTCCTCCTCCTCCTCATCCTCCTCCTCGTTCTCATCCTCCTCCTCGCCCTCTTCATCCTCCTCCTCCTCCTTCTCCTCCTCCTCCTCCTCCTCCTCCTCCTCCCCTTCCTCCTCCTCCTCCTCCTCCTCCTCCTCCTCCTCCTCCTCCTCCTCCTACTCACTCTCTTAGTCCTCGTCATCCTCGTCATCCTTCTCCTCGTCTTGCTCCTCTTGCCTCCTCCCTCCTCCTCTTCCTCCTCCTTCTCCTTCTCCTCTTCGCACCCACCCCAACGCGGGCCCAAAGATGGCCCCAGCACGCCGTCCAGGCCGGCCTCCCTCGTTGTTTGATTATGCGTGTCTCTTCCTCTCTCTCTCCCCGTCAGCTCTCATGGGCATCGTTTCTGGATGGGCTGTTGGGAATATGCGAAGCGTCAAGAATTGAGTTCGACATGCGGCGCGAGAGGCCCGTTTGGCACAATTTGATGAACATGTTGGGAGACCTGGTTTTCTGAAGAATCCGCACGACTGCGAGCACAGGCATGCTTGAACACTGATGTTGCAGCACCATGTGTTTCCATATGTTTTCGGGACACTCATGTTTGAAATCCTTACGACACCTAGCGTTTTCGACGAATTTCGGCAAGCGCGCGCGACGACGCGCGCGCGCACTTCGTCCCATTTGTTACAAGGGATTATTGCGGCAGCACGCGCGCAAGTCTAACAAACCCCACAGGGCGCACAAGTTGATTACACAGGTCCCACGGGTCCCACAAGACGAACAACTCACAGGCCCCACGGACGCCTCTGGTCCCAAAGGCATTACACATCGCACAAGCCTCACAGGTCTCACAGGTCTCAACGGTCCGACAGGTCCCTCAGGTCCCACTGGTCCCACAGGCCTGACAAATCCCACATGCCCCGCAGGTCGCAGAGTTCCCATAGGCTCAACGGGCCCCACAAAGTCCTACGAGTCCCGCAGGTCCCAGGAGTTCCAAGGGTTCCGCAGGTCCCACACGTCCCTCAGGGCCCGCAGGCCCCACAAGTCCCCAAATCCCCACAGGTCCAACAAGCCCCACAAACACGACGGGCACCACGGGTCTCACAGGCCACACGGGTCCCGCAAGGCCCACAGGTCCCACAGGGCTCGCAAGTCCCGCAGCTCTCACAGGTCCCACAGGTCTCACAAATCCCAGGAGGTCGCTTCCAAGTATTGCGTGCCCCCACGCCGTTTGCGGAGTGGTCACCGCACCGTCTGAAGGGCCCCCGAGACCCTCGCACCCCCCCGCCCTGCTCCAGGGCCCCAGACATGCAGTGCCATGATGTTTGCTCAGTGCGACCCTTTCTGCAGGGCAAGCTTTCCGTCCCGCGCCGTCTCTTGACGGTCCTGGGCCGGGGCAGGGCCCCGAGAGGCCGCAAACGGAGGCAAACCTCCGTGCTGAGTTTCCCCAGGGCGCTGCATGCGTGGGACCCCCCCCCGCCCGACAGCGCCCCCTCCGAGCGCGGCCCGTAGAGCTGGCACAGGGCCGGCCCGACGCTCGCCTTCAGCAGCACCTTCGGCGAGCTTGCGCCCAGAGCGCGCAAGCGCTCGCGGGCGGCGCGCGCGCGCCGACGAACAACGACGAAGACGACGAACGACGAGGACGACGATGACGACGACGACGACGAACGACGACGACGAACAACGACGACGACGACGACCGACGACAACGACTACGACGACAACGAACGACGAAGACGAACAACGACGACGACGACGACGAACGACGACGACGAACCACGCCGACGACGACGACGACGACGACGAGGACGACGGCGACGGCGCCGGCGACGACGACGGCGCCGACGACGGCGCCTGCGCCAGCGCGAGCGCGGGAGAGGCCCGCCGCGGGGGGAAGCACAGCCGGCATCGAATATCGGGAAACCGGATCGGTGTGGAGCGAGCATCGCATCGGATCGCCCACAGGGCCCCACGAGGTCAAGATCATCCAATTCCATGTTGGAAAAACGTGCATGTTCAGCAAATTAGCATTTTACGTTTTGACAATGGTCGTCTCAAACACGATCGTCTCAAACATTCACTCCTTGTGGGGGTCGGCGGAATGGCGTAAGTCCCGTGAATATCGCGAAACCAGATCGGCTCGGAGCGAGCATCGCATCGGACCGCATCGGCGGCAGAGTTGGCATCGGATCGAATCGGCGGGGCCAAGATGCACACCTCGAGTACGAGATCGACTACAGAGCTGAAGAGTCCGCAAAATTTGCTTGTCCGTCGAATATACGGAAAATGCGTCCGCAGATATACAGAGTATTCTGGGTCCTTCTTCGTATATTCGGTGTGGTGTGAAAACAAATTCAGGGGCTAATCAACTCGGTAGTCGACCTCCTACTCTTTTCTTTCTTTCGGTAAGGGCACACCATGGTGTTCCCCACATGTGGCGCCTGTAGAAAGGCAGCCGTGCGCGGCTTCTCGCGCGGACCCCTAGGGCCGGACACCGCTGCTGCCACTGGATGCACACCTGACTCAACTAAAGACTGGACAATGTGTGAGGGCCCACTCCATCGATTCGGACCGCATCGGCACGGAGTTGGAAGCGAATCGAATGGGCGGCGCCAGGATGCACCACGGCGCCATGCGAGCGTCGGGCCGCGTCGGATCGCCCGACGATCGGCATCGAACCGGGTCGGTCCGGCCGGGGCCGACCTCGAACCGGATCGATCGGATGGACACACAGGCCCCGCGGGGCGGGGGAGCGCGAGGGAGCACCAACATGACCGTCCGCGCGAGGGAGAGACTGTGGCCCAGAGCTGGCGCTGGAGTCAGCGATGCTCGAGGCCTCCCGGACAGGGTCGAAGTAGATGGGGTCGGAGCATCGTGTTGCATTGCCGATGCACCGCCGATGCATCGGCGATGCAGCGGCGTCGTCGCCGACGCATCGGCGACGTCGGTGTGGAGAACATCGGGCTCCGCCTCGAGCGGAATCGCCGATCCAGCGGCGGTGCGGCGCGCTCCTCCGATCCCGTCCACTCGGACCTTCGTGGACAGGCCTCGAGATGCCTCGCCGCGCGCGCTCTCGCGCGCGGCAGCGCGCCCCCACGCCCCGAGATCCTGGCGTACCCTTTCCTTATTCTGGCCGGGCGTGTCTTGGGCGCCGCTCCCCCCCCTTTCATGCCACTGGACAATTCGCGTCTACCGTTTCCCGGACCGCCCGAGCGCGCGTGCGGGCTGCCTCTGCCGCGCTGCGACGCGAAACGTGGTGGGCGTCGCTGAATGGGGGGGGGGCTGGTGGCAACAAATGGGGGCGGGAGACAGGGAACCCTCTCGGGCCCCGGAGGCCCCCTTCTGGGCCCCGTTCTGCAGCCCTCGCTGCTCCCCCTCTCATCGCCATCCCCTCCCGTGACGCCCAAGGCGTACACCCTGCGAAATGCTTAAGAAATCATGGGTTAAGAAATTCATAGTCTCAGAACGTGAATAAAAACCCAACATTTCTATTATAATCTTAAGATTTACATTGAAATATTAAGAATAATCGAGACTCTGGCCGAAAAAATAAGTTTTCTTAAGCATCGCATAAGGTGTACCCTTCTTTTCGGGCTGGGCGTGTTCGCACGGCCTCGGGCCAAAGGGGCCTCACAGATCGATGGGGCTCGAAGAGTTTGGCAGCAAGTGAGGGGCAACGTTAGGGGGGGACTGGCACAGGGGGGGGGGGGGCACGTCGCTGCGCGATGCGGATTCTTGATGTTGTGGTGGTTGTTGTTGTTGTTGTGGTTGTTGTTGTTGTTGTTGTTGTTATTGTTGTTGTTGTTGTGGTTGTTGTTGTTGTGGTTGGTTGGTTGGTTGGTTGGTTGGTTGGTTGGTTGTTTCTTTGTTTGTTTGTGTGCTTGCTTGCTTGCTTGTTTGTTTGCTTGTTGCTTGTTGTTTGGCGTCGCCCCCCCCCCCCCCACGACGCAGCCCGCGACCCACCCGCGACCCGCCCGCGACAAACCCGTGACCCACCCAGCGACCCAACCGAGACCCACCCAGCGACCCACCCGCGACGCACCCGCGACACACCCGCGACCCGGCCCGCGACCCACCCGTGACCCACCCAGCGACCCAACCGAGACCCACCCGCGACCCACCCGCGACCCACCCGCGACCCACCCACACTGCTTAGCAAAAAAATCGGCGCCTGCGGCGAGCTCGTTGTATGGTTCGTAAAATTGTCGACAGGGCGGGGCAGGAGACGGCAGGGCCACAGGTTCATCGCTGCCAGTGCCTCTTTGGGCCTGACCGGCGCCTCTGCTCGGCCAACTGGGTCTCCCCATCGAGGAGGATCGAGGATGAGGAGGAGGACGAGGAGATGTGCAGGATGGAGGAAAAGAATCGAGAACGATTGAGGAGGAGGAGCAGGAGAATGAAGAGGAGGAGGAGGATGAGGAGGAAGCTCCCCGACGGACACTCCCCTCTGGATTGCACGCGGACTCCTCCCTCAGACTCACCAGGATCGCTCTCCTCCTCGTCGCTGCCCCCAGGACGTCGTTGTCCTCCTTCTTTTCCTCATCTCTCATCGTCCTCCTCCTGTCCATCTTCTTGCCGTAATGCAGGATGACGATTACTTAAAACATAGGGGGAACGATTAAAACATGTGTTGTTCGATTTCTGTATCGCTTTTCAACGGGAGGAGGACGGTTGAAAAATATGCCTATTACACGTCGGCTTCGAATCTTGCGTCGAATACTCATTCCACGTCGTCGTCGAATTGTACGTTAAATAATCATTCGACGTCGACTTCGAAGTTTACGTCAAATACCAATTCTACGTCGGCTTCAAACTTTTACGTCAAATATTTGTTCCACGTCGGCTTCAGACATTATGTCGAATGCTCAATTGACGTCGGAATCAAATGTTACGTCAAGGACGGCAGGGGGGAGGGGGGAACGATTCATAAAAATGATTTCCCAGCCCGCGGCTGTTTTTTTCTAATCATCCTCTGGGACGCCGCCGACGCAACACGACCCCCAATCATTTATTAATCGTCATCCTACATTACTCCATCAGGCCCTCCCTCCCCGTCCCTACCTCCCCATCCTCCTGCTCCGCCTGCTCCATCTGCTCGCTCCACCTCCCGCTGGTGCTGCTGTTCCTTCCTGTTATTCCTGCTACACCTTCCCAGCTACCCTCGACACCCTCTGAAACCTCCTCCCTCCTCCCTCCTCCCTCCTCCTTCTACTCCTTCTCCCTCTGGTGGAGAACCTTGCCCAACTTCGGGATGTCCTCCGTGAAGCGGCCGAAGGTCCTCAACGCCCGCGACACCTGCTGCTGCGTGAAGCCCTGGTGGTGGCGGTAGACCGTCAGAAAGTGCATGAACCTCAGAGAACAGAGGGCTCTGGAGGATCAAGACAAGGGGGAGCGGGAGGGAAAGGCTGATGTCCTTCTCCTCATCCTCCTCCTCCTCCTCCTCCTCCTCCAATTTCTCCTCCCCGCCCTCTTGGACATTAGCAAGATTAGTGGGAACACGAGGCCAATACACGGGGCAGCCTGCGTCAAGACGCTTAGGCCTCCGGGGCTGAAAGGGGGGAGGGAGGATGGCTGAGAGGGTGGATGCGGAGGACAGGGGGGGGAGGATGAGTGGGATGGGGGTCTGGCAGAAGAACAAACACCATAAACATAAACTTTTGGAGCTCCGATTGGGTTTCTCGGGTCTGCGCTGGGCCCCCCTCCCTGACGCGCGGAGCGCGCCAGGGGCGGCGCCGGAGGCGCCGCCGGGGGAGCCCAGCGCGGACCCAAGAAACCCGCGCGGAGCGCCAAAAGTTTATGTTTATGGCGTCTGTTCTTCTTCGCGGGTCTCCCCATTTTCCTCCCAGCCAGGGTAGGGCAGAGGGAGGATGCGGAGGGGAGAATGGGGAAGGCAAGACGCGGTGGCGGGACGGGGAGCTTCCGGAGGGGCGGGAAAGGCGGGGGGGAAGGCGGAGGACTGGGAGGTCCGGGCGTGGAGCGAGGAGGCTCCGGCAGGACGGGGGAAGGTCGCACGCCACCGCGGGGGGATACGCGGGAGGCCCGACGAGTCCGAGACGGGGGGGCGCCCGGCGGGATCTTGTGGCCAGCCCGGCAGGGGGCGGGCAAGTCCCTGCAGGGGGCCAGCGACGGGCCTCTCCTCCGGGGAGGCGGGCTCGGCTCCTGCAGGAGGCGGGCCGTCTGCAGAGGCCTCCCACAGATGGGGTCTGAGGCGATGGGGCCGGAGGGTGCCACCGCATCCCCGAAGCACCGGCGCTGCAGCGGCGACGTCGGCGACGCGTCGGCGAGGTCGGCGTGGAGAACGTCGAGCTCCACATCGAGCCGCATCGACAGCCCATCGCCGATGCATCGGCGAGGTCGGCGCGATCCTCCGAGCCCCATCCACCCTGACCCCGTCTGGGAGGCCTAGGGTCTGCCGGCCGCCTGTCATGAGCATCGTTGAACCCACCCCTGTCCGTATGGGCGTGGCCTCACTGGCCCCAGTGGCCGATTTACACCCCTGGATGGGGATATAGGCTGTTTTTTTTTCGGGTTTTGAGGGGTGTATCCCCAACTGGGGTGCTGAGATTAGGGGGAAAACAAACCTACCTCGCTTTTGACCACCCTCGCTTCCAAGAGATACCAAGCGATGCCAAACTACGGCCTGTACTGGTCAGGCCGCTTGACGAGGAGGCGCGTGGTATGACTTGGTTTTTCCTGGAAGCGAAAGCGGGGTAGGTAATTCACGCTCTGAGAGATGGTGATGCAAGTGGGGATAAGGGTCGGTTAAACGATACCCGTTGGTCGGAACAAAGGGGTAAGCAAGATCCTGCAAGATCTGAGGCTCTGGCTGACCCCCGTTTGCATTGACACCCGTCTCTTGAGCCCCGAAAGGTGGCGGGGCGTCTCGGAAGCCCTTCGGCCTCCTGGGAAGCCCTCCGTGGCCTCGGAGGCCCAAGGATCTCCGTGTGGAAGGCTGGAGGCTCTCGTGATCCTTCTGCTGGAGAGAGGGCCCTCGCAGATGCTTAGCGTCTGCCTGAAGGGTTGGGCGTGCTTGCATGCTTTCCCGCAGCCGCGACGGCTCGGGATTCGGGTGCGCAAGCAGCGGGAAGACCCAGCCTCGAACAAACTCTGCAATCCCGAGCCGCATCGTCCTCTCGCTTCCCCCCGCGGTTGGGGGCCGCTCGCCATCGCTCGGACGTCCCTTCCCTGTTTTTTTTTCGGTTTCGTGCGTGGTTGTTTCGCCAAGTGATCAAGGGTGTTCCTCGATGGTCCTCGCCGAAGGAAAAATGCACACCTCCGAGCGATGCCAAGGCCGGACGGAGGGGCGGATGCGTGAGGGCACCAGGTCGGCCGACCTCGCGCTCCGCGCCGCACGGTGTGCGACGCGCTGCCTCCTCCGCGCTCTCGCGTGGCCCTCTGGAGAGGAACGACACACACACACACACACACATCAATATACACAAATCCCAGAATCCCTCATATCTTGAATTTTTGTTCTGGGTGTTCGTCTTCCCCTCTACTTGCTCGGGGGAGGCCAAGAGGGGGGCGTCCAAGGGAGGGGGGGGGGGCGCAAATCATGGCCAGCGGCATGTGCGCGGCCCAGGGGGGGGGGACCTGGGAAAAATTGTAATAAGAAGAGAAGCCATGAGTCCAAACCACTTACGCTTGACCAACCGCGCTGCAAACCAAGCCATTCTCGATCCGAATGACGAGACGGAGAGCGGGGCAAGTTTGGTGCGCTCGCGTCATATCTGACGCCCTACCCTTCCATACTATCCCTGAGGAGGAACTGGAGTGGGAGGAGCGGGAAGCGCACGAGGGCACGGGGGAAGGAGGAGGGACAAGGAGGGAACGATAAGGATGCGGAAAGACTCGGACCCCGTCTTTCCCCCACATCCAAAGAGGGATTCTTGTTCCCCGCATCCAAAGTGGGGTTATTGTTCCCCGCATCCAAAGTGGGGTTCTTGTTTTCTCTGGACACCTCGCGCAGGAACCTCACCTCATCTCACATCCCACCCCTCTCCCCTTTACTCACCATCATCATTATCATCTAACCACCACACATCGTAACTACTCACCATCATCCTCATCAGCGTCACCATCATCATAATCATCACACTCATTCACACTCACACCATTACCATCCTCATCATCAACAACATCATCATCATTCGATCAGACATCATCATTCGGTCAGACATCATCATCATCGCCATCACCACTCATCATCATCATCGTCATCATCCTCATCATCGTCACCATCGTCATCCCTCGATCACCTACTCACCCATCATCATCATCACCATCATCATCATCATCATCACTCACTCACTCACTCACTCACCCACTCACTCCCTCACTCATTCACTCATCACTTCGTCATCACTCAACCCCTAGTTTCAAGATGGATGGAGTTTCAAGCGGGACCTTCGTCTGTGAGTGAATTGTAAGGAAGTTTCAGGCAGGAGCCCCCTCCTTATGGGTCCCGCACTTCATGTTGGTAATCCGAGCGGGTCATCCGAAACGTGTAACTGTCGTCACGCTTGGGCTCCTCAGGCCTGAATTCGGGGGAAATGTTAAGCGGGAGCCTCGTCTGCGAGTTAATTGTGAGGACATCTCAGACGGGAACCCCCTTCCTATGGGTCCCGCACTTCATGTTGGTAATCCGAACGGGTCATCCGAAACGTGTAACTGTCGTCACCTTTGGGTTCCTCAGGCCTGAATTTGGAGAAAAAATGGGCGGGAGCCTCGTGTGTGAGCGAGTTGCGAAAAAGTCTCAGGCGGGAGCCCCCTTCCTATGGGTCCCGCACTTCATGTTGGTAATCCGAGCGGGTCATCCGAAACGTGTAACTGTCGTCACTTCTGGGCTCCTCAGGTTTGAATTCTGCGAAAATATCAAGCGGAAGCCTCGTCTGCGAGTGAATTGTGAGGACGCTTCAAGCGAAAACCCCTTTCGTATGGGTCCCGCATTTCATGTTGGTAATCCGAACGGGTCATCCGAAAGTGTCGTCATGTTTGGGTTCCTCAGGCCTGAATTTGGGGGAAGTATCAAGCGGGAGCCTCGTCTGTGAGTGAACTGTGAGGAAATCTCAAGTGGGAGCCCCCTCCCTATGGCTCCCGCCGTTTGGGCCAACACTTAAGCCTCCAGCGCCCTGCGCGGCGACTCTCCGCCATGACGGGTCCCGCACCTTATGTTGGTAATCCGAGCGGGTCATCGGATTCCTTTGACTTTCGTCACTTTTTGGGTTCCTCAGCTCCTGCGGCGCGAATACGGAAGAAGGGTTCCTCAGTTCTTGCGGCCAGAAACTAGGGAAGTAAAAGTATCAGGCGGGAGCTTCGTCTGTGAGCGAAGTGCGCGCCGTCGACAAATTTGTTGTTGTCATGGGCCTACGTGCCCAAAAGGGCGACTGAGGTGTTGACGACGACGAGGACGAGACAACGGCCGGGCGCAGGGGTAGCCCCTTGCGTCTGGCGGCCGAATCGGGGGCAAGGGTAAGCCCTTGTCTCCGGGCCGCCGGTGGTGACCCATCGGCGGCCGAATCGGGCGCAGAGGTAGCCCCTTGCGTCCTGGCTGGGGGTGGTCACCCATCCTCGGCCGAATCGGGGCAGGGGTAACCCCTTGTCTCCAAGCTGGCGGTGGTGACCCATCGTCGGCCGACGCGGGTTGGCGCCTCCTGAACGTCCCGAACATGCACAAGACGGGGGACATCCACGGCTTGTTGCCGGCCCACGTCGGCATGGAGGTGCGATTCACGGCAGTGCAGGAGGAACTGAAGAAGAAGTCGGGGTTCGTGCAGGAGCAGCGACCCACCATCGTGTCCTTCGAATTCCGCCGCGGGGACGAGCGGGACTACGAGGAACGCGCGCCGGGCCAGCTGTTTCGCCCGCGCTACCTGTCGAAGGGCATCTGTCTGCAGGTCCACGGCTTCAAGAAACCCCCGATCGACAAGGAGGTCGCCGAGCTGCTGCTGCCGGGCGCCGAAGGCGCCGTTGAACGCCGCGAGGCCGAGGCGCGGGCTCGGAGCTTGCTGATGTGCAGGCCCACCGAGCAGGAACTCACGTGGCAGAGCTCGGGGCCGCACGCCGTGCGCCGCTCGGGGTTCACTCTGACTCACGCGTCCTACCTCAATTCCACGATGTCGCAAGGCCAGACGATGCACAAGGGCGTCACCATCGACTGCGCGAGGGACAAGGACGCTGGCCGCACGGGCGTGTCGGACAACCAGTGGTGGCTGCACCTCTACGTCATGCTCTCCCGCGCCACGCGCGTGCGGAACATGCTGATCCTGCGGCCGCCCCCGCGCGACCTCCTGGAGCGAGGGCCGCCCGCGTCCTTGCGGAAGGCGCTCGAAGAGTTCGATGAGAAAGCGA